GTGTGCAGAAAATAAAATTATTCCTTAAAGGCACTGCTTCTGTAGTGACAGCAAATCCCGAGAACTGCATGTGATGGGTACACCCAACCATTAAACCTGAGGGAGACTTCTCGAGCAATGATGCGGCAATGGATTTACATCATCTCTTCCTCTCCTGCCAAACTGTCACCAAGGAAGTGACGCTACCCCATCAACTGCTGTGCTGTGGAACAAGTCTGAGCAGGTGACGCTGTCTCCCACTTGCTAGGTATTTGAAAGGAAATCAACTGTCAAAGGCTCAAAAGCACTTTGAAATTTAAGATGTTGGCAAGGCTCCTGTAGTTCAAAGGGAAATACGTTGTTCTGATAAATGAAAATGCTAAAAAGGAATGAACACATCGTACAGCCTCATCCAGAAGCTCAGGGATTGTTTAAAATAACCTAGTCAAGACTGAATTCTTGCCTGGAAAAAAAAAAATGTAGAAGGACCTCTTTCAGGTGTTACTATGAAATTGTGTAACACCAGTTTAGTGATTTGGGTAACAGTGTAACATTCTTGATATCTTTTAATAGGAATGAGAAGATTAACAAGGGACTGCCTCCTACCCCTTCAAAGTTGGTGCTATTGCTTGCTATATTTCATTATTTCTTTATTGTCGCTCCTTGTTTCTGGAGGCCACCAACATTGCAGGCATCTGGGGAGCGTTCTCCATGAAGCCTATTTCAGGAGGCACGTGTAGAGCCATTTCAGTCTTTACCATGGATATTTATCATATTATTACACTGTTTTAGCTTCCTCCATGCTGAAGAAAAAACTTTCAGCAAGCTTGTTTAAAGTTTTCGTTAGCTACGCTAATAATCAGGTTTATGACATTACTGAGAAGCTGCCATTTTCACATCAGCGCTTCCTCGAGATCAGTACTCCAAAGGGTACTGTACACAGCTGCTCCCAGGTCTGCGTTACCTGGAGCAGGGCTGGCTTCAGGCCTCCGCCAGAAGAAGGCTTTGGGGTCAAGCGTGGGCTGAGACACACTGACGTGTCCAGGGGACCGGTCCCTGGTTTGGTTCCTCATATGCTCAGAAGGAGCTGGTTTTTCATGTGGCTTGTAAATAAAATGGCTTGCGTGAACACCGAGTAAATCTGTATCGGAAGTTCTGGCTTACTTGGATTCTGTGCTGGAGCCCTAGGGAAAAAAAACATTGCTAGAGTGTCCAGCAGAATGGTTACCACATTCTCCCCTGTTCTCAGGAAAAGTCTCTTTCCTTGTATTGGTAACTAAACCCAGGGGGAGAGCAGCAGATGCTTGTTTTTTTTTTTTCCAGATACAGTTCTATGCAAATGAAATATCTTTCCTTTTCTCTTAAGTAAATTAATGCAATCAAGTTGAACTTGCTATTAACCTGAGAGGAGATTCTGCTGTATAATCAAACACTATTCCAGTGTTATACTTGGGGCTTGTTTCCTTCTGTAAATGATACTATATAAATAAATGCAAGTTTTACCTTCAGCAAACATAATTTGCTACATAATTTAGTAAATATCACACCATACATGCATTGAGGAGTGAACTCCAAGTAAGCTACGTATTACAAGAGTGCAACAACGTAAGGAAAACCCAATGTATCCAACCACCTGCAAGTCTCTGGAGATACCTTTTAGCGCTTTAATGTATATTTAGTGTGAATCTTCCCCAGACATGAGAATTTTATTTGTGTGTTTCTGTCTTTACCCATATATAAAATGAACACACATGCATATATGCACACACACATTTACGTTTTTATGATGTTCAGAAATTTAATTATTCTTGCAAAATAAACATTTGTTATTGGCTAATTCTGTACTAAGTTTGTTTGGTTTTTTTTTTTTGTTTTTGTTTTAAATGTGTACAGTACTCTAAATTTGCATAGCACCAGAAGAAATACACCTGCTTGGTGGATTATTGAGGATATTTAATATCCTCTCAGTTCTCACATACACAAAAAAAGCACAAACCCTACAGCAGGTTAAACTGATGAAAGAGTTTGAGGGGAAAAAAAGACCACAGGGCAAAGAAGAGCCCGAGAGCACCTATTCCTAAATCTAGTAAGCCCTACACATGTTCAGGCTTCAAGTTCAATGCTCTGTTATTAACTCACAGCTGACTGCTGCTGGGCATAGGGAACTCTGTCTTGGCCTGTCAAGCTAGTGAATATGGAATGCACTGACATATGAAAAGAGACAGTGCTCGAGAAAATGACATTTAAACATTAATAAAGAAACTAAATGGCTAAAATGTAAAATAACATACAGTTCGTTCTATGTCCAGAAGCCTTTCCTGTCAGTTTAGGTCAACTTTAGTAGCTACTGTTGTTTCTCCTTGTAGGTTCTGAGCTATACAGATGTAGTTCCCAGCATCTGTGGCTTCAAAATCCTCAATAGCAAGAACACTTTTTGAGATTCTTGTGGTATGTCCAGTTCCTCTGTTGATCAGTCTCCAGAAGTTTTGGATAATCACAGGCCTCTCAGACTGTTTTAAAAGAAAAAATAAAAACCACATAAGAGAATACATGATTCTGCAAAGTATGTTTCGTGACGCTACCCTAGCAAACCCTGAAGCGAGAGGTGGGATAGGAGCAGCCTACAGCTGGAGTCAGCTGAAGGTATCTGGCAGCTGCAGCAGCGTTCCTGCATTAAATAGTGATGTACCAACACGTTGTGCCAAATAAGGAAAACACAATGGCTCTTCCACTCTCAGCGCAGGTCCTGTGTATCTTTAGATCAGGGCTGGGCTGCCAAAGCTCTGCCTGGAGTATACGAATGGACTCGGCTGCAGATGTGGTCCACTTACTAAGGTTGCAGTTGGGTAACTGAGCAACAGGCGAGGTGTGCTGGGGGAGATGGCAGGGCAGGTGTGTGAGCTTATTGTCAGGCTTTCAGCCGGTGTCAGAAAGGAGAGCAGGAGTTAGTCAACCAAGCTTTACCTCATACCCTTTTATCCCAGGGAATAGCTTTAAACTGTGTGTTGCAAACTAATACCTCCTCTTCTAGTTTCAGAAACACTGCACTAGATAACATATATGCAAACAGCAACAATTCACAAATGTTTCTAAATTAATCCTCAAGCTATGCTTTCCAAAATGCATATGCAACTTCAACATCAAAAATACAAACAAGGATCCTTAGAAAGATGCTTTTCAGATGTGGTTCCTGTTGTTATTTGTAAGAGTCTTTTTTTCCCCCCCTCTTCTAAAAGAGAATTCTCTGATGTGCTGTTTATCAGGTCACACTCCCTGGCACCTCAGGAGTTTGCAAAGGACTGGATAAGAGAAACTGGCCCAAAGATAGACTAAGGTAGTCTCGTTCCTTCCAAAACCCATCATGCTAGTCAGCAGCTTTAATCATGTTGATTTAACAGGATAAAACTGGTGAGAGCGAGCGGTTTCTGCTTGGAAGCCATCTCCTCATGCTTTATGAAAGAGATGGATTAGTCATTTACCAATATGAATGCTGCAAGGCTTAAGCTAATGGTAGCAAAAGGGTAAGTCAGGCACTTCATCTAGAGCCAAAGCTACAATTTTGCGCTTGCAAAATGACCAGTACAGAAGCAGCTGCCAGTCTTCTTGAAGCTCAGGGATGAGTCACAGTGCAGTCAGGCAATGCCTACAAGTGGCAGGCATTTACAGCTAGCAAGAGCTTCTTTGAAAAATTGGTCATCTCATCTGGAAATTCTTAACCCTTTAGAAGGAATCGAGCTGCTTAACAGAGCTCTGCCTAGCAAAGTACCATCTCCTGGTCCCTGCCTGAAAACCAAGTGCTACCTACAATCAAGTACCACCACACGCTTAATTCAAGCCTAAGTTAGTTCTTAAATATAGCAAATGGAACTTCCCTGACCCTACTGAGAGTGAAGGTAAAGACCATGTAAAGCAGGTGCTATTTGCGTGGTTGGGCTCCTGCTAGCCCAGTTTTTCTCAAACTAACTGCCTTCTGCTCCAAAGCTGGTGTCAGGGAATCCTGTTAAGGAGTGCAGCAGTGCACATCAGTATGCATTCACAGCAGGTGAGTGAGCAAATGTAATTGTCAGGGAGTGGCAAGGGGAAAAAAAGAAAAAAAACCCCACAAACTGCAAAAGAAGTAAGAGTTTAGTGACTATAGAGATGAGCTGAGGGTCTCTCCAACGCAACGTACCTAGGAGCAAGCAGGGATTGAGGTGCTGCTTCTGCTCAGGGATGAACTGGCAGGTGACAGCCCACATGCTGGGTGCAGGGGACAAAACCTGTCACTGATCTCCCTCCACTGAAAGCAGCAGCAATGAATGGAAGGATCCGGTGACTCTTAGAACGTTGTCAGTCATTTTTCTTGCACAGAAGAATGTGTACCTGACCAGCATCACTGATGGTCCTCTCTCATCTCCCTCCACCCCCACCTTTCTCCTTTGCAGTATGAATACCTCCTTAATAAATGTTAAATCTCCAACACACATACAGTGCCTTCTACTCTGACTCACTTTGCTGGGGCAGAAACCCAGGCGCAACGCTTCCCTCCCTATCCCCCGGCGCAGCTGGAGCCGAGACCCTTTACTCGCAGGGAGAAGCAGATCAGCCCTTTCCAGCGCAGACGCAGGCCACAGGCCACCGGCCACCATCTCGCTCTCAGTCCCCGCAGGCGAGGGACATGTGCCCTGCACTGCAGCTGCAGTGTCCACAGCAAACGAGGGACAGAATTTGCACGTGTTTAGCTGTTTACGTTCACTCAGTGCTAGAGGGGTGTAAGTAGTGTGCATGCCGGCGCTGCATCGGGTGCTGTAAGGCCACTGGGAGCAACTGGGACACGAGCAGTCAGCAACCAGAATTGGGCTGTGAAAGACGTAAAAGTAACAAGGGGTGGACACTAATAAAATACAGAGTTTTGGAAGGCCAGGCTGAGTTTAGAAGTTAATTTCTTCAATTGTTTGTTCTTAGTAATAACAGTTAGTTACAAAAGACATAAAAATGGGTTCTGTATAGCCTACAGTCCAATTAAACAGATATCAAGGGAAGCTAAAAAAAAAAACCAAACAAAAACTCCAAACCACACAAGCAAACAGAAAACCTTATCAATCAACAAAGCTGATGTGATCAGTAGGGGCATTTCTTCTCTTCCCCACCTAAGAGAGTGAATCCTTGTAGTACTGTCAGATTGGGGCCAAACTCCTTCAGTGGTGCCCAGGGACAGGACAAGGGGCAACGGGCACAAACTGAAGCACAGGAAGTTCCAGCTGAACATGAGGAAGAACTTCTTCACTCTGAGGGTGACGGAGCCCTGGCCCAGGCTGCCCAGGGAGGTTGTGGAGTCTCCTCTGGAGATATTCAAGAACCACCTGGACGCGGTCCTGTGCAGCTTGCTGTAGGTGACCCTGCGCAGGGGGGTTGGACTAGATGACCCACAGAGGTCCCTTCCAACCCCGACTATTCTGTGATTCTATGATTTAAAGCCCCACCTTGAAGGACAGAGACACTGCCATTTGTTGATGCACCTCACTCAAAGACAAGCTATGAGCTAAATTCCGAGGAAGACACCAGGCAGTTAACTCAAAAACCAGTATTGCTCTGCAGCTCCCCGAACGTGGAGGCACTTCCGTTTTCCCTAGTATTTTGCTTTGTACTTCACCATCAGTTGCCAGTTTCTCTGCTCGTTTAGACATCTGCCCCTTTCCTTCCTAACTTCAAACGGACACCAGAAACAGGAATTCTGCCAGGCGGCTCCATCCAGATCCCCTAATCCACGCTATCAGCACCAAGCCCCTCACCCAGTGCTGTTGAGGCTGCCCACACTTTAACAGCCAGGACAGGGCAGGGAGGGGAAGTTGGTAATTGCTCACAAACTCTCAGACTTCAATAAGCTCAG